TGTTTTATGTGCCATGTCCCTTTAGGATGTAGGCAATCATGGCTCTCCATAAGCTTTGACTTTTTGTTATTTCCCCCAGACCTGTTTTGCAATCCATTTGCTTAAGCCTGTTAAATATGTTACCTGTCACTTTCCCTTGTCCCTCTTCCCTCTTGCCCCATGATTATCAGATTTTCCAAGCCCTTCTTTCTCATTATGGGTCCCCAAAATTTCAGCTGCCTCTTCCTGATGTTAAGTATGAGTTTCCTTTTTGTTTGCATTCCTCTCCAAAACCCCATTGTTGCTCACATGTTCAGTCCATGGTATCCTTAGCATCCTTCTGTAGAGCCATACCTCCATTGCCTCGAGTCTCTTCTTCATCTTTGAGGAGACTGTCCAACATTCACTGCTGTAAAGAAGGACAGATATCACATAGCAGTTCAGTACTTTTTTCTTTCTTACCAACAAAAACTTCCTGTCTTGTAATATTCTGCCTAGCTTTTGGAATGTGTCTTTGGCCATTCCAATACATCTTAGGATCTCAGGGTCACACTTACTGTCCTCTGTCAGAACACATCCCAGATATTTAAATTTCTGCACCTACTTGATTTTAGTGTCCCTACCCTGTAAATCGCATTTTGGACTTATCTTTTTACTGATGACCATGCATTCTGTCTTCATTTAGTTTATGCTTAGTCCCTTCTTCTTGCTCTCCCTTGTTACCTTCTGCAGGAGGTTTTGTAGTTTTCTTTCTGTGTCTGTTATCAGCACAGTGTCATCTGCATATCTTATGCTATTATGATTATGGCCACCAATAATGAATCTTGGTAGGCTTTCCAGTTCTCTCAGAATTGCCTTGCTGTATAGGTTGAATAGGTCCAGTGAGAAGACACATCCTTGCTTTATGTCCCTTTCTATTTTTGTGTATTTGCTGAACTCATTTTTTATCTGCTAACAGATTCTGCTGCACACTCTATTCATCAGAATACGGATGATTAGTTTTGTTATGTGGCTCATTAGGCTGATTTTTCAGTGGAGTTCACATTCATTTGTGCCTGGTTTCTTAGGCAGTGCCATGAAAATAGATCTGTTTAGATCTTCCAGTATATCCCCACTGTTTTAGATTTATTATTTCCACAATCTTGTCTATGCCAAAATCATCTAAGGCTATCAGCATCTATCTTAACATTCCATCTGGCCCTGCTACCTTGCTTCTGTTCAATTTGGCCAGTGCTGTTTCTACTTTGTTTTTTTAGAATTTCAGGCCCATCAGGAATTCTGTGTATTACTGGTTGTTCTTTCATCATGGAAGAGTTCTCCAATATGTTTGTTCCAGCACTGAAGAATTTTTCCTTCTCTAATATGAGCATTCCATCCTTGGACTTTAATGCAATCTGTTGATGAGCAAGTCTCCTGAGCTGTTGTTTCCCTTATTTGTTTATGCACGTCTCCTTTGTGGTACTCAACGTCTATTTCTGCACATTTTTTTTTATTTAGCCACTCTTCTTTCACCTGCCTGCATTTGGTCCTTATTTCTTTGTGTATTTTTCTGTATACCGTTCAGTATCTTAGCAGATTTTTCTGTCTCCTTTGCATCATGTTGAGAATCTCATCAGTATCCATTTGTTTTTTGTACTTCATCCATTCTCCTTTGGGATGATATAGTTTACTGATGTCACTAAAGCTTCTCTTAATGTGTCCCATTTCAATTTTCGATTTCCATTTTTGTTCCTTGTATCTACTCTTCACACTGTCCATATATTTTTCCTTCAGGTTTGGGTCACTCAAGAGTTTGTTATATTGCAATTTGGGTGCTGCAGTTTGGGCTTCTTCAGTTTCCATAGTTTTACTTAGTTTACCTATGACAGTGCAATGGTTGCTTCTGCAGTTGGCACTTCAGTAGGTTTTGCAGTGAACCATTGCATTTCAGAATCTCTTGTTGATGTAGCCAATTTGGTTTTAGCAAATTAACTTATTTCAACATAATTAATTTGATTTGGGGAAGTATTACATATACCACAGACAAATATAACCAAGCAGAATTTGAAAGATAGAAAAGAAAAATCAGATGTAAATTGTAATATTAGTAAAGTTCAGTTGAATTTAAGTTCAATAACTTTAACGCCAGTTCACCACTGGTTCTATTTAGCATTGTAATTCTTAAGCTGGAATGCATACATTCCCAAGACAATTTTTGGTGGTGTTAGGAAAGGATGCCAAACTAACATTCCCCACCCTCCCATTTTATTATTTTGGAAAAGGTTCATTAACATAAAAAAAATAACTGACCATCATCAAGAAAACCTTTTAGCATCACAGATTTCCAAATCTAGAATTTTAAAGGAATTTTGTTTGCAACTATATATCTTTGCAAATTTGAATTTTCATCCCTATTTCTTAAGATAGAAATCCTTTGGATGTCCAAGATGACTTGCCAAAACAACATTCATTTAAATTGAGAAATAGCAGCCAGCACATTAAATAGGTTTATCAGAAAAATTTTGATGCAAAAAATAATTGCAAAATCAGCTTAATTTTAACATTGTTATTTTAGTTTCACATTTTAATATTAAATTTTCCAACTTCAACTCGTTTAAATTTAATTGTTTTAGCCCTAAGATCAAAGTGTGCAAGAAAGATTTTTGAAATCTTAACAGCATGCAAGCTTTGAAAAGGTTTAAAACCACTGGCTTATTGATAATTTTTTTTTTTTTTTTGTTTACTTAATATCATGTCTCATCAGGACTCAGGCAATTATAGCTCTCCAGAGATTTCTTTTTCTTGTCTGAATTCTCATTGCTTCTTAAGATAATAGAGTGATTTTCCTTTCCTTAGATTAATATTTCTCAACCATTTTTGCTTCAGAGCTCACTTGTAGAATAACAAAAACTCTGAGGCACACTTAAGGAGAAATTAATAATGAAATTTTAAAATGGGAAAATAATAAAGAAATATCCTGAAATTGATATTTATTTTTAAGACATATTTTGTATATTTAAGTTTGCTTGTATTAAATCTGTGCTTGACGTGCTTTGGCAATGTTTTTAATGTTGGGCCTTATGTTACATCTTGAAGGTAAAAAGGGAAAGGATTATCCACTCTTTAAAGGTTAAGGATTTTAGCATCCCATTTAAAATATCAAATAAAGACTTCACCGAGACATAGAAGCCATCTGATTGGTGTCTTTAGCTTTTTGAAAATAAAGTTTTTTAAATATAAATTCATAAATTGCCCTTCTGTTAATTTGGGGCCATACCTGGTTACATTTCAGGGCTCACCAGTTGAGAAAAGTTGCCTTAGACTGATTGCCACCCAACACTAGAGAGCCCAGTCTACTTTACTATTTAACACACAGCTAGAGGGAGAAGAAAAGTATTCATGCTTTCCCAAAGATATTAGGGCAAAATTTGACCCCTGCTCACAAATTCTACTTTCTACACCAATAACCATTATGTTACCTGAATATCTGTTGACATGGTTATAGCTCTAATAATCAACTTTCTGTTTACTTTTTAATTTATGAGGGAAATAGATACATATTCAGAAACAAAGAAATATGGTAAACAAAAAAAAAAATGACTCACTTAGCTTTAAAAAAATCTAATTTGTTTAATTTTTACTAAGAAGCTTTAAGAGCTCCACAATGTATTTTCAATAATAGTATTTGTGGTCATTCAGAACTGTAGTGCAAATTGCCACATTCATATTTACACAGTATATGGCAGATATAGATCAGCATGTTGATGTTTAAAATAGGGCATGAAAAAGTTAAAAGCCACCAGTAGATAAGTGGTATTAAATTTATATATTTTTGAACATACTTTGCATAGATCCCATTAGTATAAACTGAAGCCTCAAGTTAATATGGGATGGACAAATATGAATTGAAAATTCTTTCATTAGGATATCTGCAATGTCTTCAACAAGAAACTGTTACATGCAACATATGGCAAAGTGTTCATTCAGGCTTGAATATTTCAGTCTGCTATATCTGATAAAAGGTGGGACTTTATTATTGCATTTTTCATTGTTTATCAACTTTCTTGCACCATTGCTTTTGATGTAATCCTAAGCTATTAGATATCCATCATTGAATTTTACAGACTGTTGTATATCCAGGATTGTTTCTTGTATCAACTAGTCTTTGGACATACTCTCTTGCATTTGAATGTATATTGATTTTACTTCCACTGCTGTGACATAACTTCTACCCCCTCTCTCTCTTTTCTATAAATATTTTTGTTGTAATGAATTTGAACACACTTCTAGATTTGGCAACTAGATCTGATCATTTTACTGTTGAAATAGCTAGATGTAACCGTAAATTCTATTCTAACAGTTTTTCTTGCACTTCCCACCCGTAGAATTTTCTTCTGGTTTCTTGCTTCCTTGCCATCTACAATCTTCAAATCTTTACATGCAATGTCAATTCCTAACTTCTGTCTTCCTGAATCCCGTTCTTTTATTGTCGTTTCTCCTCACTAAAGACTTCTTATTTTCTTTTATTCCCAGTAACCCCTTGTGTGTCTGTGGCTATCTTTGATCTTACCTAATTTCAAAGATCTACCAGTTTTTGTGAAGATCTTCATTCAATTCTTCAAACTGATATTTTCAAGTATGTTTTCATTCATTTTGTATGGCTTAACCCCTTGCAGGTTATTTAAAGCCAGAAAATATTTTAGGAGGAGATAAAGATTTAATAACACAAGTCTTACTAATTAACCTAACAAATCCAACTGGAATTGGAACTCAGCTCTCCAATTAACAATTCCGAGCCATTATCCCACTAGCACATTTAACTTTTGACATTGCATTATTCATAGGTAATACTTAATTTTCCACTGTATTTTTTCAAGGATGCCAAATTGTGTTTTTTTTTTTTTATTTCAGTTAAGGCTATTTTTACTGTTGCTATAACAGGACATGACAACACAACTTAAAAATTCAAATACACTATCATTCTAAAATCATTGTCACACTTTTTGCTCAGAAAAGTCAATGACAGAAGGCTAAAGATTAAGCTTCCAACACCTGATATTCTCAGGCAGTCACCCATCTAGGTACTGACCCAGCTCAATGTTACTTAACTTTGGTGATTGATGTATGGGAATCAGTGATTCAATAGGATATTGTCTTCCCCTATTGTGAAATTTAAATCCACTAACCCTAAAGTTTAGTCACTAAACTTTAGTGAGTCCATTTAACAGGAAAAAATTTGCATGACTCATGACTTCTGTATTCCCTATTTTCACCACACATTTGTATCTCCCTTTATTTATACTGTCACAATGCACTACACACAGTCCTAAACATATGCTATTGAACACTTACAGCTTCTTAGCAAAAAGTAAACCAATTGATTATTTAGAGCTAGGTAGGTAATTTCTTTTGCTCGCCATTGTAGGACATTGTTGTCCTTAATAATCTCTCGACAGTCACTCAAGGTGGTGTTTTTTTTTGTTTTTTTTTTAACTATTTAGAGAGTAGTTTAAGAGAGTTAGCAGCATGAATTTCAGTTAAAGAAGCAATTGGTTTCTGCTAAATTTTGAGCAGGGAAAATCTTTTTATATCCTGCTATACAAAAGCAACTGATATCTGTCTTTATAGAAAGTTTCAAAATCACCTTGCAAACTAAAAAAATAGTTTTTTTGTAAAAATGCTTTTCTTTTTTCATGCCCAGAATTTGTTATTTAATCTGTGTAAAAATGAGATTCTAACTGTTGTGTTGACTATGCCTACGAACAAAACATTATTTCAGTTTTTTTTATTTAATAAAAAAAAAATTGACAATTAAAGAAGAGAAAGACGAAATAAGTATGGACATAAAAAAAAGCACAAAAAAAACTCTTGCTACAAACCGTAACGTTATTCATTCAATTCATTAACAAACGATTAAAATTTGTTTTTATGCAATATTTTGCAAAAAGTTAAAACTAATGATCTTGCGTTTATTTAGTGAATTTTTTCGATATTTTTTAAAAGAAAATTCTTTATGATAAGGAAGGTAAATTTGAACGGGTTTTTAAAATAATTTTTATGGTTTTTTAAACGTTCAAACAGGTTTGTATGAAAAATCTATTAGTTGTTAGATTTAGTTTCAAAAATTGTTATTTTCTGGGATGAATTTACAATACATTTTTAAAAAAAAAAAAAAAAAAAAAAATATGAAACAACGACTGTACAATATGGTGTGTAACTAGTACTTTGCAATTTTTTTAAAGACAAAAGTTGTTTTAAACAGAAGATAAAATAAAAAAGAAACTTCAATCAAAAGTGTGAATGCAGTAAACATTTTGTAACAATATATTCAAAACAAAAATTTGCATAAACACAATTTCTTTAAATAAAATAGTGAATCACTGTTTATCTCCACTGTTAGTGTAGTGGTGATAATCACGTTTTATGCAAAAAAAAAAAAAAAAAAAAAAAAATACACTAACAGAAACTAAAGTTTAATTTTGAATTTTTAGCACTCAAAAGGAAAAAATGTATTTTTTTTTTTTAATTTGAAAAAGTTACTTAACTATTCTCAATACAAAACAAATAAAAATTCAATTGGAATAATTATAATAATAATAGCTCTTCTTATTCAAATCAATCCATAGTCCTCTCTTGAAAAAATAATCTATGGGTTGAGTGAAAGAATATTTAGGAAAAAAAAAATTCTTTAAATTGTACTTTTTTTTAATGTTTTTTTCTGATTAGTTATATATATTTTGGTGATATCACCAAACTTGATCAACCCAAATGTGGATGAAATTGATAAACATTAAAGTTTCTGTTTAAACAATCATTTTTTTTGCTTTTTAAAATTTTTAAGTGTTTGTATTTTGTAGCTTTCAAGACTAAAAGAAAAAAGAAACATACGAGACAAAAAAATCCCACTTACTGAAAAAAATATAAATTAAAACTAAAAGGAAATGTGAATAAAAAAAAAATCAGACTCAGTTTACTGTTTATATGACTTTGATCGGGTTCACTTGTTAAAATTTGATAGCCACCTTTCCAGTAAATAAAAATAAATAAATATACACGCGGTTCACCAACATTTTTTTAAACACAAAACTCCCGCCTGTGAGAAGTTTTTAATTTAAGTCTTAGAAAACTTCTCTTTAAATTGGAGAAATACAGTTTTAATTTAGTTTTGTCTATGATTATTCCTTAGTACTAACTATGTAAATCTTTAGTTTTGGAATAACTTATTTTAGGAAGACTTTTACATTCATTTTTAATTAATACCTTTTTTTTTTTTAGCCTTTTCGCAGTTTGAGCTTAAAAATAGAACAGAACTTATTTTTAATTTAAAAAATGGTTTGAAAAAACCTTAAACCTAAGTAACCTAAAAGTAAAATTCAAGCTCTTAAACAAAAACCAAACAATATTTTATTCTTCAGATGCCAGGTATCATTTTAAAAAAATAACACCAAACAGGTTTCTTCAAGTCTAATTAGAGATTTATTTTTGTTATAGGAAGAAGAGAGTAGTAAAAATAAAATTTATCGGACAGTGACACCCATAGAAAAAGAATAGGTCATTTTATTTTATTTTTTTTAGTTTTTATTTAAGAAAACTAAAACATAAAATATTTCAGACTTACTTCCGCGTATGTGAGTGCATGCAGATTTTATTGATTCATTTGGGGGCTAAAACATATTTTAAAAATAAATAAAAGTGGAAAAGAAAGAAACCATATGTCAGTTATTATATTGTTTTGTTACTGTTGATTACACAATGTCACAATATTGTAGCATTGTCAGTCATATTGTTGACTATTATTAGGTAAAGACGTTACGTCCTCTAAATCAGGTAGAATTTCAGATTAAATTGAGGACATTCAATCGTTGGAAAAAAGGTGTGATTTTTCCATATTTTAAATGTATAGGTGAAGTATGTCTAAAAAAATACCTGACATCAGAATGTACTATAAACAGCTGCTAGATTTTCATTTATTGTTACACAGTGCAACTCACCTGTTGTTAAGTAAACAGTGTTTCTTTTAGTATAACAGCACTAATAAAAACTAACTGCTTCAGGGAAGAACAACAGAAAGAAAATTAAAGTCATATTTAAAATTAGCACAGAGATAGATGTCGAAAAAAAAACAAAAAAAAACGTAATAATTAACTAGGTGCTGAAAAGTCTTCGGTCCGACCTATTTCTCAAAATCTGACCAAGTGACCAAATATTAAATTTTTTTTTTTTTAAAAAGGGTTTCGTGGCCAGAACGAGAACTTTTGGGCACTCGTATTTTCTTTTCTTTCTTGTACACTTTTTAACTGCATTTTTTTTTCAAATAAAAAAAACTTACCTTTGTACGAGTCCGGTGAACTAGGATCCGGTGTTTTTTCATCCATTTTTTGTACGGAATTTAAAAAAAAAAAAATGGGCAGGGGGGTAGGATAAAGTTTTTAAGGTATTGTATGTCGTATATGAACCGTAATCAGTAGTAAGTGTTGCCTTGTCTTTTCCTCTTTTTTTTTTGTTTTTACTTTTTTTTTATTTAATTCCCCTTGTGGCGGTGGTGGTGGTGGACTACTGCGACATCGGTGGCAGTAGTGACTGTCACTACAGTCAGTCAGGACGTGCCAGCTTGTGTCAGAAAGAAAGAAGGCGGCGTACGCAATCAAGTTAAATGTAGAAGAGTAATTCTTCGGTGTGACTGAGTATGCATGTGTATGTGAGAGCGAATAAACAAAACGGGTTTTTTTTGTGCGTTTGTTTCTTTATTGTCGCTTAGAGTTACCTCCCTTGACAAAACTCACCATTTGGATGAAATTTAGGGTAGATTTATTATTATTTACTCAGCTTTGCTTAGTTTGGCACAAGGCCACAAATACGCAGCACTTAAATGAAGATCGATCTCACTACTCAATAGTAATGGGCTCTATTATACTTTTGCATTCCCCACTCAAAACAACATTTCCTACACATTAAAATTTTCTTTATCATTTATTTTATTTTAAATTAAAAACTGAGCGTCTGGAAACTTGCTTTGCTTGTCAATCAAGAAAAGAAAAATAAAAGAAAAAAAAGTGTTTTCAATATTGTAATAATACAAACCAGAGAACAAATAATAATTAAAAACAGGATATGACTCTCTGGCGATCTGATGACAAAAATGATAAAATTTTAAATTTTTGAATCTTTGATTCCACATAAAAAAAAAAACTTTGCAAAGTAATCATCCATCATATCACGATTTTAGTTGCTCCGTGCTTTTGTTTTGATTTTCATCTTTGCCACATAGCTTTCACGCTATTTGTAGTTGCACCAGTGTTTGGGTCAGCGGGGGTGCAAAAAACTATAATAAGCGTTGCAGTAATCATCAACTAGTACTAATTTGTTAACTTGTAAAAAACGTTGTCACATGAGACTTTCGAACAAACATTCGACAAATCATTATAACTCCGCGACGATAATGATTTTATTTTCACTGTTATTAACACTGACACATATTTTAAAGATTTACTTATTGAAACAGTGTAAAACAGCAGAAATAATCGCCTAGATTTTTTATACAAAAACAAATCTTTTTTTTCTGTTCTTTAGTGAAACTAATAATCAAGTTCATGAACAGTGAACACTGAACACTTATATCGAGACATAAAAAAAGTCATCACGGTACATTTTGTTTGGGTAAAAAAATAATTTAAAATAAACAATCATTTAAATAAATTTCTGCTTAAAAAGTCATTTATGAAGTAATATTTTAATAAAATAGAGTATTAAAATATTAAATTATTATAAATTGTAAATTAAATACAATTCGTATCATCCGCATTTAGTTTACTTATTTCATTAAAAATTAAGACCCATTTGATATAAATAGATTTGTAATATTGTATGCAAACTATTGCTTTTGAAACACTAAAGAAAATACTGAGGAACAAACCAATAAAAAAGTTTTTCACCCAAAAAAGAAGTAAAGTTAACCATAGATGTTAGTGAAAAGGCAATTGCTGCTATTCTATCACAAGAAGAACACCCAATCATGTACATATCAAGAAGGTTAATGTCAGTAGAAACTAAAAAAACTACTTGAATACTGAAAAAGAAGCACTAGTGATTGTATGGAACATTGAAAGGGCACAAAACTTTTTGATAGGAAAAAAATTCTTATTA